CAAAGACAATGAGATTGAAGTACGAATCCCCAGCTGGTATGGCTAACCAAAACAGTGTTTATCACCACCCTCTGGAGATGGAATGGCGTAAATCAATCTAGAATATTCATATCCCTCTACTGCATTGAAACTTTGTCATAATGAATTATTACAAAGTATTTGCACCCATTTGATGAAGGAATAAGTTTGACTTAAATTACCTTTCTCGAGGCAAGTCAGTGGATTTTAAACTCTTCACAAACAAACTTTCATAAAGAAATTGTATATTTCTTGGACATGAAAACTTATAAAGCTTGTTGGTTGATTGGTGAATGATGCAGACTGTTTTTAAATGATCGTCAAGAATTTGGTTTAAAGTGATCCTCACGTTTGATATTGTTTTTAGGTATTAAAAGACTGTTTAGTGCAGCTCAAAGGACTACAGAGCACTGAGGAGGATGACACAGGTGAGGGGACAAAGGTTAAAGGTCAATGAACGTCTGGCTGTAATGATACAACTGACTGTCTCAAATCAAAATGAAAATGTTCCAAGGAATAGGGTATAGCTCTTAGGATCCCTTATGGTCCATAACAATTTTCATTTTGTCAACAGAAGTTGATAATGAAGCCCGAGTCCAGCAGCTTATGGATGTGACAAGAGTAAGTAGTAGTCCTTGAAGTCTTCCATATTGGAGTGATGTAAACAGAAGTAAAGAAATCTACACCAACATCAAATGACTTCATGGTCAGGATTCAAACAATTGGGTTGATTTGCAGGACAAGTTCAAGAATTAAACCGTCTTTTATCAGAATTATTGGTGTATTTCTAAATTTCACATGTGACATGCTAAGGATGTTTAATATTCTTTTCAAAGTTTTGCTACTTTCTCATTTACGACAAAGTTTGGGTTTTTCCTTTTAGGTGAGTGCCAAGTTGTCTCTTGTGGAAGGAGAAAAGAATGAACTGGATGCCAAATATGAAACAGAAGTCAAAGGAAGACGAGAACTTGAAGGTGAGTGAGAGGACGGGGAGCTTGTGAGGATGGAGGCACGGATGTCTATAAAGAAATCTGGACTCACAATGCCTTTGCACTGACTGAAGCCACCGGGCGGACATTTTACTGTGCCAAGTACAAAGGCGATGGTCAGTTCAATTGTCATTGTAACTAATGATGCCATAAACGAATTTGGTTAACAATGGTGAGCAAGCCTTTATATTACCTTTGTATTTGGCACAGTAAGATGGCCGCTGTGCTGATTAGGGGATTAAGAGTCCAGATTTTCTTGAATGAAATCCATGGATCTCGGTTATGGAGATGCATACCTGGATGCTGTGAATCTAAAAAATTGACTGAAGTCTCACTGTTCAAGGCAAAATGACTAAGGGATGCACATCAGGGCTACTAGATGTGAAGTCTTACAAACCATCATGTGGATTACAGATTCTTCATTAGGAGCACTTGTACAGGTTTTCTAGCTTACGATATCTTGAATACATATGGAATTTGGTCTTGTATTTCCAGCCAAGATTGGGTCCCTTCAACAAGAGGTTGACCTGGCACAATCCAACTACAAGCAGGCCAAGAACAGCCTGGCTGAAGCACAGACCAAACTGGAGGTCATGACAGAATACTTCAAGAACAAAGAGGTGGAGTTACAGAGGTGAGTCCGTCTGTTTGTCCAGATGTCTGTCTAGATGAGTACCCTTGGCATGTCTCTGCTGGACAAAGGTCGAATGTGAAAGACCTGTGTTGTGTTTTACAAAGGTGTGTATTTACTCATTCAAATGTTAGAGTTTGACTGATTACTTCTACTTATGTATGGTCAGGAAACTTGGTCGTGAAGAGGCTCTGAGACTTCAGAGTGACTCGAAGCTAGAGAATGCTGATGGCAAAGCAGCATCAGCTGAAGTTGAGATCACCAACTACCGGTGGGTACCAGTGAATGTTGTATTCTGGACTTTGTGAGAATAAAACACTCCTGTATTCAACTTCATGGGCTTTAATGATGTTTGGAAGTTTCAATTCAAAGAATGCTCATAAATCAGTTGCACTTTTGACTTATTTTGCCCTCAGGTTTAAGCTTTTATTCGTTTTTCTGTTTTCACATGCAGGACTCAGATCAAAGATCTCAAAGAGGAGTTGGAAAAAGCTGAAAGGAATTTCAGAAATCAAGTAAGAGAAGAGATCTCAGGTGATATAAGATCCTTTGTAATGTCGTAATTGTTGTTTATTTTCTCTGTCAATGAAATGCATACATGCATCGAAATTGAAAAGGCAGGGACCATGCCTATGAGGAAGGTCACATTTAAATCATATCATTAACATGTAATTGTTGCCACTGAAACAGTTGAACATTCAAAGCCCTTATTTTTATGTTTTAGAGACTTTATCTGGTTTCACCTGGACACATTTTATTGTGTATTTGTTTTTCCTATTAGGTTGCAGCTCATGAAAAGAAAGCACATGACAGCTGGGTAAGACTGAAAAATAAACTCTTGCCATTTATAAACCTAGATTGCAGGGTCAGATCTGTCAGGTTTCTTCCTATTTTTTACAATTTTTTCACCAGGATTTTCCTGATTATAGGATTTTTTAAAAATCTGTTTTAAAACCTGAGTTTACCATTAAGGTGTTTTTATTTCTAAAAGTTGACACAGAACACAAGAAATGGGCAGTGTAAGGGTGCCTACCGAACACAAATGTATACCATAGATCTTGCACTGCCTTGGGGGTTCTTAAAACCTTGGGTGATTGTACTGAGGATATTTCATTTCCTCTAAACACATCCCCGAGTTTGAATTTCTGATTGAGCATTTCTTTTTTCCTTTACATGGATTCTTTTTTTATCAAGCAGCAATGTCCCTTGGGTGGCAATGTGTGTATGTGCCCGTTCATGTATGTTGCTAATATGTAGGATGCTAGGTGCAAGGTACCAATGGTCCATTATTGTCCCAGCCTCTTTCTTGGTTACCAGTGAGGAGGTGTTTACCACACAGAACCAAACCATATCGTTTCTAGTTTCTTGAGCTTCCTTGTGGCTTAGGAAACACTACCAAATAACTGCTGAATGAAGTGATATCTTTATTTATTCTTTCTGTTGACAGATCTCTGCTCGCGCAGCTGAGAGGGAACTCCAGGAAGCTAAGAGAGAAGCTGCAAGTCTGAGACACAGGTTTGTCTCTTGATGTTTCTTGTTCTCTTGACTCAACAGTTTTATCATTCGGTATTTAGCACTAAGTTATGCAGTGGTAATCCCAAAAGGTTCAGATAGTGTAAACTAAGACATAAATTGATGCTCGTTCACTGCAGTCTTCAGTAACTAACTTTTTGCAGTAACATCTAGTACATACATGTACTTAAAATTTGCATGTTAAAATGTGACATTTTCTCTGAGTGACTTGAACAAGACATAGAGAGGGTTTTAGGTTTTTGATGGTGACTCTACAGAAAAAAGTGATATTGGAAGGTATTGAATCAACCATCTTGTTTTGTTATGTTAAGTGAACGTAGCTTTAATCTTGTGTTAGTTTCAACATCATCTTGCTCTTGATTTCCCTGGGGTATAGATTGACGGAGCTGGAAGGTCGACGAGCTAAGACTGACACAGCTCCCTTGTATAAACCATCTCCATCTGGACGTAAGTCTAGCTTTTTGCTCTCTCCCTAGAAAGAAATGCTTGTGTCTACATAGCAACTCTCTTTCTGGCCAACAGACACTTGCTTCTTGCTAACGTTTTCAGTTCAATCAAGCTGGTTTCAGTATTGGCTATTAATTATAACTCATCAACATTGTTTCCTGAATCTTCTTGAATCCTCCAAATTTTTAATTGTGCGAGAGCAAAATAGTATATTTCTTAAACTATCAAGGGAAATGAAATTCCTTGGAAAGTAACATGTGCTTGCCTTTACGTTGTGCAATCCTGCAAAATCCCCCAATACTTCTAGACGAACTCTGAATGAAACATGAGGTGGATTAGAGTTAATAAGTTAAAGAATGGCTTCCTTTTCATTTATGTTGCAAAAACTTGGCTTCGTTGCTTCGTTTTTTGGTGAAATCTACCTCCAAACAAGTACCCCTCTTGAGTATTTGGAATGCTAACATGTCATCATGCCTGTCAACATTTTCACTCTATCTGATCCTATTTTAGTTTGCAGAAATCAAATCAGAATTGTTTTGTTTTTACTGTTGCTGCTTAAGTTATTTTTTCTGAGGGTGCTTTATTTGTCACTAATTTTCTCGGTATGACAGGTGAAGGGAGTCCGCAGCCTGTGAAACAAGGTACGCTGCTTAACATTTGATCTTCAAACTAATCAAATATTTCTAACAATATTTCTCCGAGATTAGCACTGAATATTGTAACTTATATCTGTCCATCTGATTTCCTATTACCATTAGTCTTTTTCTGTCATTCTTGGATACGTATTTTCCTACAAAAAGTATTTGGCCTGTGAGTAAGAACCTAATTGTTAAAAAAAGTTGGCTGCTTTTAACTGTTGATGCATAGTGACAGAGGATTACTTCTGTCACAGTTCATTTGAATGGCTTGTGACTGACTTAAGACCAGATGACATGTAATGGCTTGTAATTGACTTATTTACTGCCTTAACCATTATATGTATGCGGTTTAATGACATGATTGCACATTTCTATGTTTATTTCTCTCCAGGTGTGCCCAGTAGGAACAGTCTCCTAGCTGACACTCCATCACCACCTCACCTAGATCCTGGTAGACCCTTGTCACCACGTAGACCCAACTACCAAGGTGACCTTCCCCCGTCGCCTCCATTGGATGGTGATGTGGGCCCCTACCGACGCTCATCTAGATCAGGCAGGGACTCTGGTCCACCCCCACCATTCCCGGATGATGGTCCGCCCCCTCCCCACCCATCAATGGGTAGAGCGCCCCCACATGGACGTCACTCCCGAGGCCCTCCCTTGTCAGAGATGGACTATGACCCTCGTGATATGAGAGAACTGAGCCCTCCTCCGGACTTTGGATATGGCCCTCATGGTCCACCTCCTCCGGACATGGATTTCGGTCCTCCCCCTTTCAGTGGACCTCCACCCCCTCTTCGTCACCCCTTCCCTCCCAGAGATTTCCCACCTCATCCTGATGATTTTGACCGCCGAGGACCCCCATTAGACGATCGTGATTTTGGGCCTCCACCCATGGATGACCGTGACTTTGGTCCCCTTGGTGGATACGGACCTCCACCGCCTGATATGGACTTTGGCCCTCGTGGCCCTCCACCACCTGGACCAATGCATGGTCCAGGGCCCTACCCAAATGACATGGGGCCACCTCCCATGGATAGAGGAGAACCTCCACCACCTATGGGCCCTAGGAATCCAGGTAAGTTCACTTCACCGGAATTAGTACAAAGTGTTTGCTACATACAGTGTTTCTAAATACCATATGCATCTTGGGTACGGGCAAACCTCGTAATAAAAATTAACTTCTCCCCAACACAAAGTGCTTCTTGAAAAAAAGAGATGTCTCATGGTGAGTGTGATATGCGGGTACATGTATATCGCCCTGTCATGATCATTTTGGGCCAATGAACAAAAAAGTATCCAAGACAGAGGTATTATAATGGTGTATGCACATGTATGGCAGTCACAACGTGATTAGTTAAATAACAATTGTCAGTATTTGGGAGGTTGCCTTAATACGACCAGATGGGCTGTTTATTTTGATGTAATACCGATTGTCTTTGTTCCATCTAACGGTTTGCAATGTTAACCACTTTCACATCACCCAATCGGATTCTGTTCTTGCTCAGGCATGAGACCAGGCAGTCGTGGTCCTTACCCACCCCCTGCTGGAGCCCCACCTCCAGGGGCTTTTCCCCTGAGTGGTCCTTCATTTGGCACTCCAACAGGATCGCAAAGAACATCAACCCCATTAGATGTGAGTAAACCTAATCCTTTTCATTAGCAAAGTAATCTGTTTTATTTTGGAGTTGAATATCGAACCCTTCCTTTTGTGGGTTGTGTCACTGCAAAGATGACTTTTTTTAGTAACTTGTTCACAGTTCCTCTAAAGGCAAAATATAGTTAACAGGCCAGAGTTTCAGTCAGTACATGGTCAAATATGCTCTTATTAGCAAATGTAAAGACAATATGCTAAAAATAAAATTAGCAATGTTGGCTGGACCATACATGCATGAATCTGCACTTCATAATGGCATGTTGTAGAAATTATAAAAGACATGCCATGCAGAAACATGCCTTCATTCGTTCAACATCATGTGATTGCCAGGTGATTTTCATATGACTACTGTGAATACAAACTGGAGATTAGCATGTTATTCAGTGCTGTAGTCGAGTCCATCACATGTGCTTTCACAACTCTATAGTCCAGTCACAAGTCCCTTCACTAGACCAGTCACAAGTCCCTTCACTAGACCAGTCACAAGTCCCTTCACTAGACCAGTCACAAGTCCCTTCACTAGACCAGTCACAAGTCCCTTCACTAGACCAGTCACAAGTCCCTTCACTAGACCAGTCACAAGTCCCTTCACTAGACCAGTCACAAGTCCCTGCACTAGACCGGTAACACGTCCCTTCTCATGACCAGTCACGATTCCCTTCACTAGACAAGTCACAATTCCTTTCACTAGACCAGTCACAACTCCTTTCGCAAGACCAGTTACAATTCCCTTCTCAAGACCAGTCACAAGTCCCTTCACTAGACCAGTCATCCACAGGCTTTTGAATCGACAAATGACTTGTGATGGACTAACGGGGACTTGTGCTGAGCTTGATTACAACACTGATGTGAATATTATGTGTTACTTGCATTGTTAACTTTTTGATCGGGATGTGTTTGTGACCAGTTTTCTCGCAGCAAGTAAGCCATTGAAATGACTGTTAATTTTATTGTGGTTCACAGGGGACACCAGTCACACCCCAGACCAGACCCAGCTCCAGACCAATTCAAGGACCTTAAAACCACCACTTTTACCAAATCTCTCTAAACTTTTACTTGAAATTCTTAGAGATAGAACATGCTCGTCTTATCAGTTGGTAAAGGTGTATGTGTTTTTATGAACCAAAAACTTATTTGTTGCTACTTAAAGATGTCAATTTATGTCATTACAGTGTGATACCTACCCTTTTCAAAGCTTCCCAATCAAAGCGTCTTATAATTTTATTCCATTTCTTAATGAAGTAATTCAGTTTAAATTAATGTTAAACATTTTATTTCTAAAATAAGTTAATTAAAAAATAAGATTTAAGTAAACCAATAGGACTTTGAATTTCCTTTTAGTTATCCTGCTTGTCAGCCTTGAACCCTGAAATAGAAAAAGATTTAAAAGTTTACTCTATCAGCTAGATTATGTATTCCACATCAAGAGACTTCTTGAATAAATGTGGATATGAATTTGTTCCTTTTGTAACCCTCGTAATTTTGATTTGGTGCAGGCATTGAATATGGAACCTTGTATCAAACCTGATAATTTTTAAAGTAAGATGTACTTCCAACTCCATAGTTACCTTTGAACAATTGTCCTCCTTTGAGTCTGATCAGATTTTTAGGAGCCCTGTTTCCTTCTGCTGCTACATCTTTTCACAGAATGCTGTTTGGATAAAGCCATCTTGGTTAGAGAAACTTGCTCTAAGAGTCAGGAGGCTGTCTTCATTTACATAATCGTTAAGACCATGATTTGAATCTCTTCCAGGGACCATGTATCCCGAGGCAAGGCACAACCATAGCTGCTTCCTCCTGCCTAGAATGATATGGATGCCTATTAGGGCGGAGTTAATGATTAGAAGTTGAATCAGGGATGTATGTATGACATGACTTATATATTGACCTGTTCACTAGTATCACTCATCTGTGAAAGTATCCAAGAGTACTGATATTGAGGGTAAGCTCAACACCATTGCTCCGATGCACATACTGTTAACATGTGCATTGATAATACATGCACTAATGCTGTGCATTCATGCATGTCACTTTTTGAGATGGTAGAACCAATGCATTCATTATCTGCACTCTGATAATCAAGTAAAGGTGTAATCCGTACCAATGCAATGAAGATACTGACGAATGATAGCGGAGAATAAAAAGACTAGTGGGCTTTTATACACGTATAAATGATTCAAAGGACAACCCTTAAGCATGCATATGTCAGGCAAATATTCTCCTCATATGGCAAATAGCATTTTGTTAAGTAGCACTTTGGAACAGGGCCCATATTAGTGCAATAATGTTATTGATCATGTGGTTTACTGTAGAAACCATTGTGAATATTCATGACTGAATGACATGGTGCTTTTGATACGCATTGTACATGTGATTTATGATTGGTAACAGGGTACAGAAGTTTGTATTTGTCACAACATCCTGCAAGGTGCAACTCTATAGAGCACATGATGCAAGATATGAGACGGAGAGAATTCTTTTCAGACATCTAGGGGCGATGTGTTAGGTAACAATAGTCCAGAGAGTGTATAGTGATTGGACATTAGTGATGGGGGGTACCCCTTTGTCTCATTTCTTGCTGGTAACTATAGAGATGCACATCTACTCTACCTAATCCTTGGAATAAAAACTACAGTAAATTGGACAAAATTAAGTCACTTCTAATTTGGCAAATTCCGTGCCCTTGCGAAGACAAGTGGTGTTAACTTTTTAATTACTGTTTAAATGTCTAATGGGACTTGCTCACGTTGAGTTTTAGATCACTTAAACATTGCAGAAAAGTAAACACGGGGGTGTTAAGGCCAGATTCACTGAAGGTTTTTAGAGCCAATCACGTTAGTTTTTTTTCCATGCAGCGTCCAGAAGGTGTCAATTGACTGAGCCGTGCATAAAACAAGCTGCTACAATCAATATTTCAAGATTTGATACTTCAGTTGTCACTGAAGTTTTCCTTGACAGTTTTTATTTTGAGACGTGGTCTCAAGTGTTTAATGTGGTTATGCTGATTGATTGTCTGTAGAGAGACTACTGCGCCATCATAAATGCAACTTACAAACGTCGGTTGACTCTTGAAATTTAGTGTTACAATGCCAAGTTTGTTGCAAGAAAATAAAGGCCTTCCCAGCTTAATGTCGTCAAAATGCGAGTTCTCTTCAATCTTTGATGGTGTCAAATGATTTAAAAAATCTTGCATAGATAAATGTCGAACCAGCAATTGAAACTGCCCTGTTGCCAAGCAGCAGCCCAAGTATCTCTTGACACCCGTGGCTGTGCATTCTTAGATACTTGTTATCATGACTTAACCATTAAGGTCATACTTCTCCTGTTGTCAGTTCTAAACAAACATCAGACCTCTTCAACACGTAAGTGCTTTGCGTTCCTTGGAGAGGTTTAAATTCATAGAACTCAAATTTGTTCAATCCGGAGACAACCCCGATGGAAAGAGAAGATCCAAATCAAAGCGTCTGCCGCATTTCTCGTAATCGGGGTATTTGAATTGGAGAGGCAGGATGCAGTATTGGCAAACGATTTATAACTCTGTGACAAGACTCAGTGCCTTCAAAGAAAGGATGCCATTCCGGAGAAAAAGTAGTTGGAAAAGATAGGAATCGTTTGGGTTAGATATGAGATGAGGGAAAAATTGGGCTATACCGAAGTATATAATGCAAGATAAATTACAGGTACCATCTGTTTAGTCACCTTTTTAGTTCTTATCAGAAACCTTATGTAAGAAAATGCCAGGATAACTAACTATGCATATTGAAACAACTTATCCTATGTAGAAAAATATTAGCGAAAGAGTCACAAAAATCAATTCGTCATCCTTTAACAATTTTCAGTCTCAAAAAACACCACTTCCTCCCCTTAATGGAAAACTGTACTCTAGTTGCATGTCCAGATTTCGGGTCAGGGTTGAAAATATGGGATTTCATCCGGGTACAATAAAGCTTGCAAATATTTGTCCTGCGAAATCCGGGGTGGAGTTATTCAACCGGTGTCACATGAAATTTCGTCACATGGACGTCTGATCACTGTTTTCCGCATAGACTCTCAGCCCCCGAACCTGTTCATGGTTGGCGTTGATCTGTACACCAAGTCACGCATTGTAACAATGGATCTATGTTTAGGTACTAGTCCAAATTCCATACAACACCAGCGGTGAAATGTCGGTACTTGCAACAGGAACAGAAACAGATAGATGCTCCACAGGCTATTATTAATTTCATATCGCATAAGTTGACCTATTCTCGCTGCTCCACCTGCAGCAGTAACTAGTCTTAAACTAGAGTGAGCATGCTCCGAGGTCAAGGGGGTACACGTTGGATGAGCAGGAATCAAGTTATTAGGGTGCAATTAAGGAGAGTGTGTGGACGTTGTGATATGAGACTGGTTATGAGAAGGCAAGTCTTGGGGAGCGAAAGACTTGAAGCCGAGAGCCAGCTAGCTAAGTATTTCTAGAAAATTGAATAAAACAGAAAAATCAAATTAAGGAAGTGTGGTAAAATCTGACGTGACTGTAAATGAAGAACGATGCCACGAGGTTTCATCATCATGAGGCCCGGGACGGGCAAACAAGCTTGCGGTGAACATGTGATGTGGGGAACCCGTGGGTCCAGAGAATGGGGTATTTATGTCTCAGTAGTGACTGCTAGTTTTGATGATGTCGTCTCAAAATGTAGGGGCGAGAAGAAAATTTGGAGTTCAAGGCAGTACAGTCGAAAGACCCTTAATGGGGGGGTTGAAAGGGCTCTCAGTGGAAAAGTCGTTCCTGTTTCTTCTGATCGTGAGCAAGAAAAATAGAAATACAAATAAAAATGGACAATTTCTGTAATATTCATCTATGACGGCGACAAAAATGAATGTGTATAGTGTCTGAATGATGATCAACGAAATCTTTTAAGCGGACGTTTCTGCACTTAAGAAGTTACTTTAGTTTTCATTACCCTGCATGGTCTTCCTCTTACGAAATGGTCTGACGCTTAGCCTGTGTACTCCGTTGATTTTATTGCAGGAATTAACATATATCACTACACTTGGCCAAAAAACCCCGACAATTCAACCTGCGTCATCGATTGGTCATATGTCCTGTTGGCAGAAGGCCAAGAGCTCTAAAAGCCAGCCATTTGTCTCAAACTGCTTGTCATGCAGTTTTTATGACCTTGCTGCAGAAAAAATGCGTATGCCTCAATTCGATTTTATTTTCAACGAAACAATAAGAATATCTATTTTATTGTTGGACGGGCAAAACTACGGTGGCTGATCTCTGCCAGGAACACACTTTTTAAATTTGCTTTTTATAAAAGCTGTGTAGCGTTTTGTAGCCGACCAGTTTACCTATTCATTTATACTTGTATATTAATTTTTAGTTATACGTGTAGTTAATTACCATTCCAGAATAATAAATCTATCTTAAATAACTTTTTATTCCTGGTACTAACCCTGATTGGTAGTTCTTAATGAATTACTCATTCTAAATTTCTTGTAAACACTTTCTTCAATGTGTATTGTTTCTGCCTACTAGGCGTGTGACTTTGCAAAGCACACATGCGTAGTAGGTCGTGCCATCATTTGGGAATGAAAGTAGAAATTAAAAAGATCTCTGTTGTAAGCGTTATATTACTCAATCAACATCGATATTTTGAGAATCTAACCAACATTCAGTGACAAGATTTTATTTGCCAATGTCTTCTTATTTCAACTTGATCCACTGTGCATGTATAAGCCCGTGGAAGAGGGGGACTGAATGGACTGTGCGCCGCGATAAAAAAAAAAGTGGTATACAGCTTTTGCTGCGAGATTGGGGTAACAAAAGCTTTACTGATTTGACTTCCATTGGATTGTCGATTTTATATTCTGTTGTTGAAATTCTAACAACTAAGGATGGTTTATTTGTTTTGGTGTTTGTGTATTGGATTGTTTGTTCGTTTGTTTTGAGTTGTTTCATATTTTTTTTGTGCTTGTATTTTTGGGGGCAGACCTGTCTAGCCAGTGGGGGTGATGCAAGAAGATTGATTCAACATACAAGTGGGACATATCTTTTTGGAGAATTACTTTTTGAAAATATCAAATTTCTGCAGAAAATTTGTTAATATGACAAATGAAAATGATTTTCCATCAATAAAATGAGGCGAGTGCTGCCAGACTGTGCCACCCATGGATTTCTACTATTAAACCATCAATAATAAACATTTACTAAATACGCCATTGCTTTTATATTAAGATCACTGGGAAGAAATGGACCCGAACAGGCTTGGGATCGATGTTATCGTCGAACATTTAAGAAATTAAGACTATAAATGAAAAAAAAAGTCAGCATCAATCCTTTAGCTCCATGTAGGACTATTCAATCAAGAAAATTGCCTTCTGAGTTCTGTGCCCAGGAAATTAAAAAATATATATAGTGAGGGAAATATCCAAAAGTTATGTGATGTTGACCAAGCATTCAGGTGCAAGGAATCGCAGTTAACGGCTTCCATATAGGACTCTTCTGGGGTCTCAGCCCACCGCACTTCCTCACCCTACCCATTACTTAACCCCCTCAAAAAGGGTTCCGAGCGACCATGCGCCCCCTAAACCCTGGCCGCCGAGTCAGCCACATGTCTCGAACCTGTACTACGGCGCTCACCTGGACTTCATCCCAGCAGAAGAGCGTACCCGGTCGGCTAAGGTACTGTTGGTACTTGACGGGGTGAATTAGAGTCTCTTATAGCTACTGACTGCTGACAGCAAGCGTTGGGAAATTAAAAACCACCGCTGGGGTTCGAACCCATCGCCTAAAGATCTAGTAACCGCGAGTTCACCCAGTCGGCCATCTCGAAGATACTGCTTTTTGCCGTTCAAATAACAAAACCTTTAACCTATACTGCACAGAATGTTGATTTGTAAAGACAGAGTGATCATAACTCTACAGTAGGCAGCTATTCTCAGTGCCAGCCTATTCGTTCTAGCGATATAAAATCACTGCTTGAAATACGTATAAGAGAAGATCACTGCATGGAGAGTTAGGTAATTCCAATTAGCACAGCATGAGTTTCCGAGCGCAGTGTACTCAGAGAAGTGATCAGCAGTCCATATTTTCTACAATCCTGGTCAAAATTGTTGGTACACGCATCAATAGACATTACCCTCCCGGTCCCCAGGTCCCCCATCTCTCGGTTAATGTTGACATCTCGAGCTGGACTGCAGGCGGCGCTCTGAGACCCAACACCGAAAGTGAAAGGGGTCCCACGGGGTTTGGGCCCAACGAGATTCGGCCAGGATTGTAGATCATGGAGAAAGGTGTGTTTTTTTAGAATGGGGGTGCCACATGAAATTTGCCGACGGACCGTCACGCAAAACGAGTGTACTGTAGGCCCTAGTCTGATTCCGTAGCCCAACCCTCTGTTCTTCGATTTTTTTCCTTCGTGTTTTGTTGTCGACAGACCTCGATTTTGTCGACACCCCGACATCCCTCCTAGCGACGCCTATGGGTTAGATCAAGTTATTTTTCCGTCTTCAGAGACGTAATAACGGTACTTATCACATAGGCCTACTCCGGTTCACTTTGCAGTCCTGTCGCATCCTTCTCAATCATTGTCGAATAAAGTCATGGTCAACACATTGCCAAAGTTTGTTTCGACTGCATGCATTACAACAAAATTGGCAACACGTCACTTTAAATTGGTGAGTCCAAGCACAGACGAAAGTAGAGCGGCTAACTTATAATTAGCTAATAAAGTGGCCGTTCCTGCCCCGGGGCCTACCTATACCACACAAGCCGAAGGCGTCTGGCTGACCGTTAGGTCAGGTGTTTTATCAGGAAGTTGTAGAGAGCTAAATGATGCATGAAATTCCATCATTGCCTGGCTCCTACAGGATTGTTTGAGCAAGACTTTGACCGGAAATGCCTGTGTAGGCAGTTACGCACTGAGCAATTTGTGCACCGGCGGAGTGCTTGTTTCTCGTTTTGTGTTCTATTTTTAGAGTGGAATGGGACGCAATGAATCATAAAAATGCCAACATTGAGATTGTTTACCCCCGGACTGACTTTCTTAATTCAACTTTAGTTCGAACAGATTTTGTCTTAAAGGGCTGTGTATTCAAAATTAACCCTATAAATAAGTGACTTTGTCCATGGAGGAAGGAACTCCTTCCTCCATGCTTTGTCACAAAGATAG